GAGGAAGAGCGGTGAAGTCCCAAGTATGATTATGAAGTAGAGCTGAGAGCTCTTCTTCCATTGCACGGCACCACCCTGGAGAGGCAAGGGCTTCCTGGACATCCTTAGAAACAACAACTGAGGATAACAAAGAGATAAACTGGCGATGAGAGGCGGAAAGGTGAGTGAGTGAAACAGGATTAGAAATAGGATGAAGGGTGCAAGTGTGTTTACCTTTCCGCAAGGCAATGGGAATATCAAGATCAGATACTGGGTTAGGGGCTAGTGTGGAGACAATTGCCGAATCTATCGACGGTGATGGAGCCAGAGGAGTAGCAGCCGATACACGTGGGCGATGTGTATACACTTGACGGATAGGTGGGCGCTCAGCAGGTGGTGGCACTGGAGGCAAGGACTTGGTCACAGCTGGAACAAAGGGAACAGAATCGGCAACTGAAAGTGGAAGAGGGGCAGGTGATGAGGAGGAAGAAACATCACCGGACCCCAAGAAAAACAGAGTAGACTCAAAGAAGGTAACATCAGCACACAAAGGAACGTTGAGAACTAGGATAGTAACACTTATACCCTTTCTGGGTCCGAGAATATCCAAGGAAGATGCACTTAAGGGATCGTGCATCTAACTTGTCATTCCCGGGGCCCAGATTATGGACGAAGCAGGCACACCCAAATACTCGAGGAGAAAGAGGAAACGGAGACAAGGTGGGAAACAAGGTAGTAAATGGGGAATGACCATCAAGGATAGACGTGGGCATCCAATTAATCAAGAAGCAAGAAGTAAGCACCGCATCACTCCAAAAGGGTTTGGGAACATTCATGTGATGCATGAGGGATTGTGTTGTTTCCAAGAGATGACAATTCTTTCTCTTAGCCACCCCATTTTGTTGTGGGGTGTAGGTACATGAGGTTTGATGTATAATGCCATGTTAGTCCAAGTATTCTTAAAATGATGAAGATAAATATTCACTGCCATTATCAAAACGAAAAATTTTAATGTGAACACCAAATTGATTGCGAATCTCAGCATAAAATTTCTAGAAGATGGTAAACAATTCACTTCTTTCTTTCATTAAATAGAACCACATCATCCTTGAAAAATCATCAACAAGAATGATAAAATATCTATATCCATTGTATGACATCACTTTATAAGGACCCCAAACATCCGAGTGAATCAAGGTAAAAGGACTCGACACACGGTTATCAACCCAAGAACTAAAGAGAACACGATGGTGTTTCCCAAACTGACACGACTCACAATCTAAAACAGAAAGTTGACTCAACGAAGGAACCAAAGATTTCAAAACTTTCAATGAAGGATGACCAAATCGACAATGCCACTGGAGAGGACAGAGAGATGATTGGAGAGTTGTTGATGTTCTTCCACCACCGTCAAGATAATACAATMCACCAGCTTCATGCCCTCCACCAATCTTCATCCCCGTCTTGAGATCCTGAAAAACACACATAGAAGGGTAAAAGGTAATGGAACAATTAAGTGACTTGGTCAGTTTATTAACAGACATAAGGTTAAACGGAAATTTAGGGACATACAGAACTGAGGATAGGAATACAAGGTCCAAGTCAACATTACCAACACCACAAATGGAGGATGTGGAACCATTAGCAAGGGTAACAAATTGTGATGTTAAGTAATGAGAGAGGGAAGAAAACACACTTGGAGTTCCAGTCATGTGATCGGAGGCTCCAGAGTCAATAATCCAGGGATTGGGTGTGGATGTCAAACAAACCATACCTGAGTGTGCAAAAGTAGTCGTGTTCTACTGAGATGTGGATTGGACAAACCTCTCATACTCATCACGGGGAACACTCACCATCACCTTCCCGGGACCATCTGTGGATGTAGGAGGCATCTGATCAGCTGAACGATTCTCCTGTCTGAAACTAGAACTGGTGTCACTAGTCATGGCATGATTGGCCCAGGTTGAGGGTGGACCATGCAAGTCATAGCAATAATTAATGGTATGTCCATCCATACCACAATGAGTACACCTCATCGGACCCAAGCCGCGTCCTCTACCACGGGCTCCCCCTGAATCTCTACCTCCAATATGACCACCACCACAGTTATATGTAGGTCCACCACCACCACTCCGGCCATATACCGGACCACTGCTACCACCACAGCCAGACTAAGCTCCTCGAGCTCTACCTCTAACACCACGGCCCCTTGACACTACAAAGGCTAATCTATCTGAGACATTAGAGTTCTCAGTAGATCCAATAGAAGTCCTTCGAAGTCGAACAAACACCTCTTCTAAAGAAGGGAGAGCTGACCCTCCTAGTATCTGAGCCCGTACTAGTTCATACTCAAATTTCAGCCCCACCAAAAATTGAGTCAGTCAAGATGTTCTCTTTGTTGTTGCTGAATTTTGACATCAGAAGTGGGGGTGATAAACATTCAACTCATTACGGATGTTTCTCATACTAGCATAGTACTCCTCAAGACTCT